ATCCATCTTGAGTTGGTCTTAATCCATCGTGAGTTGGTCTTAATCCATCGTGAGTTGGTCTTAATCCATCGTGAGTTGGTCTTAATCCATCGTGAGTTGGTCTTAATCCATTGTGAGTTGGTCTTAATCCATCGTGAGTTGGTCTTAATCCATCGTAAGTTGGTCTTAATCCATCGTGAGTTGGTCTTAATCCATCTTGTGTTTGGTCTTAATTCATCTTGAGTTGGTCTTAATCCATCTTGAGTTTGGTCTTAATTCATCTTGAGTAGATCTTATTAAACGAACAAATCCACAAGGGCCGTGACGAGGATTCGAACCTGCGTCCGATCTTATGAGATGGATCTTTTTCCATCTCAACCCGGGAGATCAGAGGACCAGGCAGGCACTTGACGACTGCCTCGAAACTTGACTATAAATTGAGTGAGATTAGTAAATAATGAAGATTATCTCAGAAGGCAGCATCTTGGGGAAGCTGTTCAGCATCCCACTATCCCCCGTCTATCCTCCTAACTTGGAGGCTGCAAGTTTAAATGAGATAATTACAAGGAGCGTCGGAGGAGATTGTAGGGATGGTGGTTAGCGAGGGAGGAAGATTGTGGTAGTTCTGGTTGTCTATGGAGTGGGAGGAAGAGTGAGGTCTATTGTGGTCTATTGTCTATCGTATACTGGGTTGATAGACGAGGCTGATAAGCAGTTAACAGCACTGGAGAGGTACAGGAGTCCCGTTCCTTCAGCCTGTTTTTCTAAAGGTTCCCCAACATCAAGAAACTGTCGTACTAAAGTGTGCTTATCCTAACCTACCAGAGGACCCAAAACAGAAAACGGGAAAATATGTCAATTTCCCAAGTCGTTTCCATTTTCTAGTACGACCATTTTTAACCTTATGTACAGAACGTCAAAATGCGACGTTCTATTAAGAGGACGGGTTGGTTCCACCTCAAGCCTCCCTCTTGGGCTAGACGGTAGAGCGACGGTCTCGCTTCATGCAGGTCGGCGTTCAATCCCCGACCGTCCACAAGTGGTTGGGCACCAGGTGTGATGTGTATGAGGCCAGGTGCGCCACACTAAGCAGAATAACGCCACAATAAGATGGCAGCGCATCCCACTACGACATTTGCACCCTAACCATCCGCTCAATTATACAGAAATACTAATTAATCGCAAGATGCAAATCAAGTTTTCGCAACAGAAGTCCAGCTTCACAACTAATTAAATTTATGGCCTGAGGATAACTAAACCCGTTTAAATTGTTAATGTCATTAATCAAACTCACAGTATGAAACTAGCAGCCTAGGTATCAACAAGGTAAGGAACATGGCATTGTATTCTGACACGAAGACAATTCATTTTCATATAGTGATGTCATCTCTCCCAGACATCAGATTAATCGTTTTCATTACTACAATCACAGCCGCGTAATGTATATATGTGTGATATAGTATATTATATATATATATATATATATATATATATATATATATATATATATATATATATATATATATATATATATATATATATATATATATATAGCACGTGGAAGAGACATGAAACCAAGCATTTGGGACAGGGAAAAAAGTGAGAAAGAAATGGTGCCCAACCACTTGTGAACGGTCGGGGATTGAACGTCGACCCCGCAAAAATCGAGACCGTCGCTCTACCGTCCAGCCCAAGTGGTTGAGGGGTGAAGAACCGCGTCGGCGTCTCATCACAACATCGAGAATAGACAAATACGACCCTTAAAAGACTGCAAACACAGTTGAAACAGCGCCACAAAGCCAGGGTAGGTTGATATAAGGGAGAAGCTGTTACCCGTGCAGCAAGTCCCCCCCCCCCTCCCCCTATCTCTCCACGGCGTCGAAAGTCTCCAATGGAAAGGCAAATGCCAATACGATTTGGCGTTTGATCTATGACGATGAGACATATCTATGACTTATCTCAGCATTTTAAGGGCTGAGCTCAGCAAGAGAACCTTTTATCCCAGCACGTCAAGGGCTAAGCTCAGCAGGTGAGCCTCTTATCCCAGCACGTTAAGCGCTGAGCTCAGCAGGGAACCCACATATCCCAGCAGGTAGTAAAAGTGAAATATGACTCAAACACCTCAACCTGAGCTGGGGAGGACTCAGCGACGCGACTAAGTTCACTCAACTTCACGGGAACACGAGTGTGTTGAACAAATCCACAAGGACTGTGACGAGGATTCGAACTTACGTCCGAGAGCATCCCAAACGCTGCCTTAATCGACTGAGCTACGACATGGTCAAAAGAGTTGAAACCGAAGTTCTACTAAACTTACTGGATCCTGCAGCCTCTCCGAGACACAAACCAGGGTTTTACACAACTTCCTCCATGCACTCGAGCTATGTCAATAGGCCTTGTGGATTTGTTCACTTGATACATCACGCTATTGTGATTTCTGTGTGTAATGAGTGTGTTCATGGTTCCCCCAAAGTTAATTTCCAACTGGATCTGGATACGAGGGATTAAGTCTATATGGCTACGGCAAGGTATGGTGGCAAAGACCGGGCCCGCGGGGAATATTGATCCTGCGAACTACTTATGATAGGAAGGTTATTAATCATCGACCTGTTGGACATTATTTATGTAGTTCAGCTGTTATTCTAAGCGATGATGAGAATTTTTCATAAAATCTACGTAAATTTTTGATAATTTTAACATGACTTGCAAACTAACAGCTTTCGAGGTCAATAGTCTATTTATCCTAATTGTTCTGAAGCTTTCAGATCTACTGATACAAGCAGTGGAGTGAATTGGAACCCGGCATCAAATGTGATTGATGAAGATTAAGCCACCCATGAGGTGGCACGGGCATGAATAACCCGTAAATCAAATATAATCAACTACTCAATGAATCTTATTATTTTCCACCTTACTCGCCTATATACCTTACCCACATGCTGTAAATGCAAACAATTACCAACAGAATCAAAACATGTAACAATCTGCCATAGACCTAAATATGAACTCAAACTATAATATATTAATTAATGTAATTAACTTATACAACACATTCAAATTTATGAATCCCTTTTAAGCGTCAGATGTAGTTAGGACGAGAATGGTCTGAGGCTAGTGTGAGTGGCTAGGCCAGGGAGTGGTCCACTGCCACTCACAGGATAGGTATGGGGACCACTACCACACACAGGATAGGTATGGGCCCCACTACCACTCACAGGATAGTCATGGGCCCCACTACCACTCACAAGATAGGCATGGGCCCCACTACCACACACAGGATAGTCATGGGCCCCACTACCACACACAGGATAGTCATGGGCCCCACTACCACACACAGGATAGGCATGGGCCCCACTACCACACACAAGATAGGCATGGGCCCCACTACCACACACAGGATAGGCATGGGCCCCACTACCACACACAGGATAGGCATGGGCCCCACTACCACACACAGGATAGGCATGGGCCCCACTACCACACACAAGATAGGCATGGGCCCCACTACCACACACAAGATAGTCATGGGCCCCACTACCACTCACAAGATAGGCATGGGCCCCACTACCACACACAGGATAGGTATGGGCCCCACTACCACACACAGGATAGTCATGGGCCCCACTACCACTCACAAGATAGGCATGGGCCCCACTACCACACACAGGATAGGTATGGGCCCCACTACCACTCACAAGATAGGCATGGGCCCCACTACCACACACAGGATAGGTATGGGCCCCACTACCACACACAGGATAGTCATGGGCCCCACTACCACACACAGGATAGTCATGGGCCCCACTACCACACACAGGATAGTCATGGGCCCCACTACCACTCACAAGATAGTCATGGGCCCCACTACCACTCACAGGATAGGTATGGGCCCCACTACCACACACAGGATAGGTATGGGCCCCACTACCACACACAGGATAGGCATGGGCCCCACTACCACACACAGGATAGTCATGGGGCCCCACTACCACTCACAGGATAGGCATGGGCCCCACTACCACACACAGGATAGTCATGGGGCCCCACTACCACTCACAAGATAGGCATGGGGCCCACTACCACACACAAGATAGGTATGGGCCCCACTAATACACACAGGATAGTCATGGGCCCCACTACCACTCACAGGATAGTCATGGGCCCCACTACCACTCACAAGATAGTCATGGGCCCCACTACCACTCACAGGATAGGTATGGGCCCCACTACCACTCACAGGATAGGCATGGGGCCCACTACCACTCACAGGAGAGGCATGGGCCCCACTACCACACACAGGATAGGCATGGAGCCCCACTACCACTCACAGGATAGGCATGGGCCCCACTACCACTCACAGGATAGTCATGGGCCCCACTACCACACACAGGAGAGGCATGGGGCCCCACTACCACTCACAGGATAGGCATGAGCCCTACTACCACACACAGGATAGGCATGGGGCCCCACTACCACTCACAGGATAGGCATGGGGCCCACTACCACTCACAGGAGAGGCATGGGCCCCACTACCACACACAGGATAGGCATGGAGCCCCACTACCACTTACAGGATAGGCATGGGCCCCACTACCACTCACAGGTGTTCCTGGTAACATCCCAGCAGGTGTTAGGACAGGTATTAGTGCGCAAGGCGGCCCTGGGTTAAGACATCCAACCTCTTAATCACCATCTGAGACAAGGGAAGGAACGCCCAGCAGGAGAATGGGAACGCAGCTCTCAACTATAAATTCAGTTTTATAGCGGCGGTGAATCTTGAGTTTCCTCATTCTTTAAAACTCCAGCGCCTAGCTGCTGGTGGTGTATGTGTTTTACTTCAGTTTTATTGGTTAATCCAATGTACCCATATACAAAAAACACATGTTATATAATAAATTATATATCTTTTTAACAGTGTCAGACCACGAAGGAATTGAAACAGGAATTTCCTTAAGTACTCTCGTATTTAATAATTCTAACACGAATCTTCTCAATATTTCTTATGAGGGTCACCCACCCACCTGGAAGCCATCGTAGGTCCAAGAACCGAACTTCATGTTGCATGACTGCTCGTCGAAGGGAAACCACTCGACGTCGATCTCACAAGACGACTTGTAGATAGCTGGGGGCCTCCACACCACCTCCCCGGTGTACTTCAGCGTCGCCTTCGTCATCAGCGTCACCTCGTAGTTACCATCCGCACTGTGGGGGAGAGACAGAGAGAGAGTGATAAACGGTAGAAGCAGAGAAAATGAAATCTGGTCAATGGATATACAAAAATGTGGCTTTTGAGACCTTCACAAATGATTAGTGAAAACGAGGCAAGAAGAATGTATATGAGGGAGGATATTGCCTCTTGTGCTGGGGGAGGATATTGCCTCTTGTGCTGGGGGAGGATATTGCCTCTTGTGCTGGGGGAGGATATTGCCTCTTGTGCTGGGGGAGGATATTGCCTCTTGTGCTGGGGGAGGATATTGCCTCTTGTGCTGGGGGAGGATATTGCCTCTTGTGCTGGGGGAGGATATTGCCTCTTGTGCTGGGGGAGGATATTGCCTCTTGTGCTGGGGGAGGATATTGCCTCTTGTGCTGGGGGAGGATATTGCCTCTTGTGCTGGGGGAGGATATTGCCTCTTGTGCTGGGGGAGGATATTGCCGCTTGTGCTGGGGGAGGATGTTGCCTCTTGTGCTGGGGGAGGATGTTGCCTCTTGTGCTGGGGGAGGATGTTGCCTCTTGTGCTGGGGGAGGATATTACCTCTTGTGCTGGGGAAGGATATTACCTCTTGTGCTGGGGAGGATATTACCTCTTGTGCTGGGGGAGGATATTGCCTCTTGTGCTGGGGGAGGATATTGCCTCTTGTGCTGGGGGATATTACCTCTTGTGCTGGGGGAGGATATTACCTCTTGTGCTGGGGGAGGATATTACCTCTTGTGCTGGGGGAGGATATTACCTCTTGTGCTGGGGAGGATATTACCTCTTGTGCTGGGGGAGGATATTGCCTCTTGTGCTGGGGGAGGATATTACCTCTTGTGCTGGGGGAGGATATTACCTCTTGTGCTGGGGGAGGATATTACCTCTTGTGCTGGGGGAGGATATTACCTCTTGTGCTGGGGAGGATATTACCTCTTGTGCTGGGGGAGGATATTGCCTCTTGTGCTGGGGGAGGATATTACCTCTTGTGCTGGGGGAGGATATTACCTCTTGTTCTGGGGGAGGATATTACCTCTTGTTCTGGGGGAGGATATTGCCTATTGTGCTGGGGGAGGATATATTACCTCTCACACTGGAGAGTATACTATTGTAAGTTTATTGCAAGTATATCGTTCATATTTCATATTTTCCCTACATTTTAGAGTATATCATATAACTAGAGTATACCCCAGTCAAAGCCACGGTGTTGACAAGAAAAACATACCAGCTACTTGGTGAATATATCATAATTCTCATATATTTGCCCATATATCTTCATTTATTTTGATTGGAATCCCTGTCAGTCTTTCCTCCAATCATAATCGACCCAGCAAGCACTTCTAGGTAAGCACATACAGACCAAAACACAGGCCTATTTGCTGGTAAAATTGGATTGGAAAAGGCGTCAGTTGGAGAAACGGAACCTTTTGGTTAGTTTCGAGAAAATGGGAAAAAAGTTTCAATTGGCCGGACAGGTTTAGAGTTTTATCTAATGGCTTGTTCGTCGCTGTATCTGTTCTTTAATGAGAGAGAGAGAGAGAAGGAGAGGGAAGGAGAGGGAAGGAGAGGGAGAGAGGTACAATTATCCAGGATTTTATTGCGTTGAAAAGGAGGCCTAATTTGTTCTGTTTCGAATAGAGATGAAGGGAAGGGAACTATCAGAGGCAAAGCGCTAAGCCACAACGACTATATAGCACTGGGAAAGGGGGGGGTCCAGGATTTGGGACTGGACGTTGGGAGGGATAGGGAATGGTGCCCAACCACTTGTGGACGGCCTGGGGAATTGAACGCCGACCTGCATGAAGCGAGACCTTCGCTCTACCGTCCAGTTCGCCGAGAATCAGTGTGCAATCCTGGTCAATGAAGTGCAACTGTGTTATCAGCTCTCCAACCCTTGCATATTTATATATATATATATATTTATATACATAATATATATATATATATATATATATATATATATATATATATATATATATATATATTATAGTGACGGTAAAGTGTTGGAGTGTTGATGTTCGGCAGTTTCAATAGCTGGGGGTAATGCCTCGTCACATTTACAGAAAAAAAAAGAAACCCTGCTTGCCTGTTTGTCGTTCAACCTGTTCTCTTAAAAAGAACGTCGCTTTTGGCCGTTTGCCCGTATGGCCGAATATGGACGTAATTTGAAAATGAAAAAAAAATAAAATAAATTTGGGAATTTTTTTTTCAACAACAGTAAGTTAAGGGTCCTCTGATAGGTTAGGTGGGCAGGAAATTCTCATAAAGTTTCAAAACGTTATGAAAAACGTTAATGGAAAGTTCCTCTTCTAAGCTGTCCGAGGAGGGCCGGTCGACTCAAACAGAAAACGGAACAGTACGTCACTTTTGTGAGTCGATTTCATTTTAAATTACGTCCAAATTTGGTCATAGCGCCGCGCATACGAGCCTAAAGTGACGTTATTTTTAAGAGGACGGGTTGGTTTGTCTGTGGTAAGGTAATGGGAAGACACACAAAACACAAAGTATAAACAATGAAATTTTAATTACTCTAGAAAACAAGATATGAACAAAGACAATCCCTTGGCTTACGTAAAATTCAAAACAAGTCAACAAACAAAACAACATGAATAATTAATGGCTGTGAAATTTACTCTAAAACAAAATAAAGTGCAAGAATAGTGGTAATATTAATCAGGTGCTGAGAATACTGGCTTAAGCTGCCACCTCCCTTAGTACACGACAGCCAGAGCTTTGTCTACTAGAGAGAGATGTCAACTCCAAAGAGCACAGAGATATTCTGAGGAGTACAGCGTGTGCTGGCCCAGACGTCGACTCAGGTAGTGGCGTGAGTGCAGGTGCTGCGACACACCAGCCAATCAGGAACAGGCAGGCGGAGAATGGGTAGTTTGCTCGTTGACGGCGGGTGGGAGCCGGTGTGTCTGGTGGTGCAAGGTACGCTTTGCTTCCTGGGCAAAACGTTTGGCGATTCCGGTGGACGTATCTTCAATATAGTATCTTGTACTTGAATGACGTGAATTATGTAGGGAAGAGCAGGCTCAATCTCTCTTGAAAGAGATTATCGTCACAATATATATACATACACACACACAAAGCCGGCAAGAATAATCAAGGAGTGACAGGGGAACCTACATATAAACATGGAGGCTGGAAGACACTAGTATTCAAAGCACATTGCGGGATCGAACCTTCCCCACTCTGGCCAGGGAGCCTGCGCGTTGTGCGGCCGTCGGAAGCCCACGTTGAGTGTCACCCACAGCGGTAAATGATTTCCATTACGTGAATATCCTCTCTCTCTCTCTCTCTCTCTCTCTCTCTCTCTCTCTCTCTCTCTCTCTCCCCTCCTCTTTCTCGCTCTCCTCTCACCCCCACCCACACAGCAAGGGACCCTGCAGCATCTCCCACAGCAAGGGTCCCTGCAACATCTCCCACAGCAAGGGTCCCTGCAACATCTCCCACAGCAAGGGACCCTGCAACATCTCCCACAGCAAGGGACCCTGCAACATCTCCCACAGCAAGGGTCGCTGCAACATCTCCCACAACAAGAGTCCCTGCAACATCTCCCACAGCAAGGGTCCCCTGCAACATCTCCCACAGCAAGGGTCCCCTGCAACATCTCCCACAGCAAGGGTCGCTGCAACATCTCCCACAGCAAGGGTCCCCTGCAACATCTCCCACAGCAAGGGTCCCTGCAACATCTCCCACAGCAAGGGTCCCCTGCAACATCTCCCACAGCAAGGGACCCTTGCAACATCTCCCACAGCAAGGGTCCCTTGCAACATCTCCCACAGCAAGGGTCCCTTGCAACATCTCCCACAACAAGGGTCCCTTGCAACATCTCCCACAGCAATGGTCCCTTGCAACATCTCCCACAGCAATGGTCCCTTGCAACATCTCCCACAGCAAGGGTTCCAGCAACATCTCCTACAGCAAGGGTCGCTACAACATCTCCCACAGCAAGGGTCCCCTGCAACATCTCCCACATCAAGGGTCCCTTGCAACATCTCCCACAGCAAGGGTCGCTGCAACATCTCCCACAACAAGGGTCCCTGCAACATCTCCCACAGCAAGGGTCGCTACAACATCTCCCACAGCAAGGGTCCCTTGCAACATCTCCCACAGCAATGGTCCCTTGCAACATCTCCCACAGCAAGGGTCGCTGCAACATCTCCCACAACAAGGGTCCCTGCAACATCTCCCACAGCAAGGGTCGCTACAACATCTCCCACAGCAAGGGTCCCTTGCAACATCTCCCACAGCAATGGTCCCTTGCAACATCTCCCACAGCAAGGGTCGCTGCAACATCTCCCACAACAAGGGTCCCTGCAACATCTCCCACAGCAAGGGTCGCTACAACATCTCCCACAGCAAGGGTCCCCTGCAACATCTCCCACATCAAGGGTCCCTTGCAACATCTCCCACAGCAAGGGTCGCTGCAACATCTCCCACAACAAGGGTCCCTGCAACATCTCCCACAGCAAGGGTCGCTACAACATCTCCCACAGCAAGGATCCCTTGCAACATCTCCCACAACAAGGGTCCCTGCAACATCTCCCACAGCAATGGTCCCTTGCAACATCTCCCACAGCAAGGGTCGCTACAACATCTCCCACAGCAAGGGTCCCTTGCAACATCTCCCACAACAAGGGTCCCTGCAACATCTCCCACAGCAATGGTCCCTTGCAACATCTCCCACATCGGCAGATTTTTCCAAAATGAATTCTCTTATCTTGACCTTTATTTCCGCTTAATTTCCCCAGCGGGGCAGGACAGCATATACCCAAAATGAATAAAAACACCGCTGCACGAGGAGGAAGAGACGGCGGCGGAGGAAAAACACTCCAGGAAGCCATAAACCTAAATTTTAAAGGTGTGTGGACCTCTGTTTACGAAGCTGGCAGCCATGTTGAGGCGTCCCGCTCTGAAGACAAAACAAATACGCATCGAGACTTGTTGTGGCTCCGTCTTCTTTGTTTCCTTTATGGCCGACTCAACTAAAAAAGCGAGAGGGAC